ATAATTCTGGGCCCACTCTCCTTCTTCGACGTAGCCTTCCCGTGTCTGTTCCCCACCTCTGCCGCGACTCGTCTGCCTTGGTTGCACATCCCGTGGTCATGGGGCAGGGCGCGCACGGCGCGGTTTCTGCATGAGACGGCAGGCGGTATCCAAAGCTCGGTGTTGGAGCCTCTGCTCAGGCGGAAGCTCGGCGGCAGGCCAATTCTCTTCTGAAGGCTCACCGGCTCCCGCCGCTCGACGCGCCGGTGCTCAAGGTGCCCTTTTTGCCTTGGGGCCGCCCCGCAATGATCAGGCGTTTCGTGGAAGAGGCGACGGCCAAGACGCTGAAGTAAGGACCGGTTTGGGTTCGGAAGAGGCTTGATGATCTGGGTCGTTTCTTAGATCTGCGTCGCGGGATTTGCTTTTGGCCTAGGCCCACCGTGGCCAGAAAAGCCCCATTGTTCCTTATTTGGCGTTCCGTCTGGTAGTACCTCGATTCTATCCTGCAGATATCGCACGGAGCGCGCCAGGGCGTGGCGCCAGCGCAGCGTGCGCTTCGCGTCGCAGCCAGGCAGCCGCCCTGGAGCGGCAAGTTCCGGGTCCAGCACGTGTTGAGCACTTTCTCGGGGGGCCCCCAAACGGGGTGGTGACGACGCCGTGCGGTGGATCGGCGGGGATTCGGGGTCACCGCACGGCTTTGGAACTTGAGGCCCTCTCCGAAGACGTTTCGGGCGACAGGGGCCTCCGGGGTCCCAAGACCGTGATGTGACCGACCGTGCGGTGAGGTCCCTTGGGGTTCCGAGGTCACCGCGCGGTCTGTCACCGCACCGTTTATTTCCGCGGGACTGATCATGCCGATCTCGCGCGGTGGGCAAAGGCACCTGGTCTCCGAACCGCTGCGGGGAACTGGAGACATCTCCAGTGGCGGTCGGCAGGAGCACTTCAGAGGTGCTTCGTCCGCAGCTGGAGTTCTTGGTGCCACGCCGTTCGACTTCGGAGTTGTCCGTTGAGGATCATCGGCCCAACCCGCTCGCTCCCGAAGTGGCGCTGACGCGCCTGCCCAGCAGCCGCGACAGCATCGACTTCAGTTTCACGGGCGCACAACTGGAAAGCGGAAGGCGAGAAAGACGACAGGCCCAACGACCTCCTAGAGTGATCAATCAGCGACTCGCTTGCAGATTGCAGAATCGAGACGCCACCCAATCTCGTCCAAAGAAAACACCAGAGCCGCCACGGGCTGGCTGGCGGCGCTCCACGGTTTCACATGGGCCGGCATGCGCACGGCATCCTGAAACGCAGAGGCCCGAAGATCTCTCGAGACAGGCATTTTCCTCGACCAGACACAGGCCAACGTTTTGACCGCCGCTTGCAGTTATGCAGGGCAGCGGGTCCTGCTGGGCCCCCCCCCCCCCGAGGAGCAGGGCGAGCCCCAGGGGCGACCCAGAATGCATGGGCCCGAACGCACGGCCCGCTGCGACTCGCAGGGCGCGGAGGGGCGAATTCTCCCAGACCCGTGTTGCATCAGGGCTGGACCTAAACGTTGTCTGGCTGGACGCACAGGGAAACAGGTAGACCAAATCGGAACACAAAACGAAAAGCCACGTTTATAGGTCCAGCCCTGTGATGCACGGTGTGGGCCACCCAGGTCGCTTTGGCGGCGGGCCCTGCGCCCGACCCGCCGCCCTCGCCCGACCGACGTTCGGGGGCCTGCCAGTCGCGGCGCAAGCTGAAGCGAGACGAGAGGCCTGCGTGGCCACGCGCCAGTGGCGGCCGTCCGTCGCATCACCGCCCACAGCACGGTGGGTCGACGCGAACAGAAATTGGCGCCGAAGGGCCAACCCCGATCCGCCAGCAACGCCTCGGCCAACGCCGCAAAGGAGGAGAGGAAACGCGTCCTTCGCAGGTCGAGTGGCTGCAGGCGGTCCATCTCAGAGACGACCGCGCTGGCCGCCCGGACCTGCTGCCGGGCCACCACCGGCAGGCGCCCGACGGCGTGGACCTCCAGTTCGTCTTGTCCTGCCTGCACACGGACCGAAATTGTGCTGAGCACGCAGAGGGCGAGCAGGTTGACGACTCCGGTGGCACAGGGGCAGCCCGCGAGCACCGTGCCGTTTGGCATCACTTCCCTGAAGGTCGCCCCGAGCCATCGCATTCGCCGCGGGCCGCGATGAAGCGCGCGCAAGGCCCGTGGCAAGCGCCGGTCAAGGCCGTGGTGGCGGCCGGCCGCCCGCATAGCGGCATGGGAGACGCACTCGCAGATCTTCACGATGTCGAAGTACAGCGTGCCGCTGACCATCTCGTGGCGCTTCGCATGCACCACGAGCAGGTTATGGATGTAGGTTGCCCTGTGCGACGCCGTGCCCCTCGCTCTTCTTCCCGAGGACGTTCGCATCAGCGCTAAGTTCCCGACGTCGAATGTCAGGCTGGCGGATCCGAGGCCAGACCCGCTGCAACAGGCTCAGCAAGCCGATCGGCCTACGCGGGCGGGGGCTTCGGGATAAACGCCAACAGCGTCGTCCACAGAGGCGGCGCCAGGGCGTGCAGCTCCCGCTTGTTTAGGATGCCAGCCGTTCTGATCAGCAAGGCCTCGGGAATCTGCTCCGGCGAGCGAGGGTGAAAGTTGCCCCGTGTGTTTCCCAGAGCTGCCCAGCACCGAGCGCACCTGCCGCACGGAGAGGTCGGGCCCATCCCATCTTCGGTGGACCAGTCTGTTGTCGGAAGCTCGGACTCGCGGTCGGCTTTGGACTTATGCTGTTCCAGCCCGCTTTAGCCTTGATCTCCAGAAATAGTTTCGAGCACCAAGAAGGTACCGAAGCTCGAGGGTCTTCACGTGTCGGGCCCTGGGAGGCGATACTCGATCGACACTGTTTCGATACTTTTTTGGGGTGCTCGGAGTTCTGTCTGGGATGTGGTCCTTGAGTACGATGGGAACAACAGAAGGCTTTGGACCAGGGCGAGGAGGAGGAGGAGGAGAAGGAGGAGGAGGAGGGGGAGGAGGGGGAGGAGGGGGAGGAGGAGGAGGAAGAGGAGGAGGAGGAGGAGGAGGAGGAGGAGGAGGAGGAGGAGGGGGAGGAGGAGGAGGAGGAGGAGGAGCAGGAGGAGGAGGAGGAGGAGCAGGAGGAGGAGGTGGAGGTAGCCACTCGCGCAAGATGGCCTCCGCCCCTGCCGCCGCCGAGCCCGCCTGCGGGAGGGCGTCGGGGTCCCCAGGCAGCACCACGGGCAGCGCCTCCGCTGGGCGAGAGGCCGAAAGCAAGCAGCGGCGAGGCGTCCTGGCTCGCCCACGGGCCCACCAAGGAATTCAGGAGGGAAGAAACACAGACACAATAAATCGTCGATTCCCCAGACATTGTACGAACATATGGGCAGTGGGGGGGAAGGCAAGCACCCAGAAAATATTTGAAAGTATTGGTAATCCTGTTATTCGTGTGTATGTATTTGTGTGTCCCAGGGCCTCTTCAGGAATGTTCTGACAACTTTTCATGGTCTGCACGAATTGTTATTGGAACACTTCTGGCAGAGACTGCTTTGTTGTACCACGTCGGACTTCTGTTCTAAGGGCATGGCTGTTGTCCTGGTAGGCCTATAGGACTGCCGGGAGGATGTCGTGGTAGGCCTATAGGACTGCCGGGACGGCCGATTCCTGCTCAACGAAGCAGCTGGTGCGCCACGCGACCTAAATTAACACAGGCCAAAACACAAAGCTCTCGCCGCGCAGCATACCCCGCCGATGCGTCGGCCCTGCGCCGGCGCTGCACCGCACCCTCCAGCAGGCCTCAGAGCCGGGCCGCCAGCGCGCCATCGTGCCACCCGAGCCCGAGCCACTCTGTCGGCGTCCAGCACGGCGAGGGCCTGTGCCTCGGAGAGCGCGGGGGGCAGATCGGCGTGCTGGGCCTGCAGGATCAGGCTGGCCCTCAAGCGTGCCCTCCTGCCCTCGGCCCCGGGCGGGCTCGGCCCCATCTCAGGAGCTCGCGCCGAGTCTAGATCTTGAGCAGGCTCCACCAGGCCTCGGTGCCGGTCGAATCATGCAGACATGCAGACGCTGCTTCTGGGCTTGCCCTTCTGCCAGAGGCTGCTGGACCAGGCGGAGCCCCGTCAGGCGGCCCTGGAGATGACGGGCATGCCCCGCCTCGATGCTCTCGGCGCGGATCAGGCGCTGCTCCGCCAAGTCGAACCAGCGGCCGCAAGCTCCCTCCAAGTTGCCGAGCGGCTGCAACAGCTCGGCGTGCTCCGGGCTCCACTCGTGAGTGGGCTGCCCGGCACAGCATGCCCCGCCGTCAGCAGATGCGTCCATAAGCGAGCTGCTAACGGCGAGTGGGCGGCGACGGTCCTCGATCCAGACCCGAGGCCGCGCCCAGATCTTACGAGTGCACGCCGTGACCTGCGCGGGCGTGCCCGCGGGCGTGCCGGCACGGGCCACAGCGGCCGCCATGCTTCGGGCCAACGCCCGCGAGCATACGAAGAAGTCGTGCAGTGTCTCCGCAGGTAAGGAGGAGGAGGAGGAGGAGGAGGAGGAGGAGGAGGAGGAGGACGAGGACGAGGACGAGGAGGAGGAGGAGGACGAGGAGGAGGAGGAGGAGGAGGCGGAGGAGAGGAGGGGAGGAGGAGGAGGACGAGGAGGGGAAGGACAAAGAAGAGGATGGTTGCAGTTTGCTGTCCTCTGCCTACCGGCCCTTGCCTTCTCCTGCAGGATAGGCAGCAGCCGTTTGGATGTCTGCGGGTTGCGAGCAGGTGAGGATGCTGGCGGAGGAGGAGGAGGAGGAGGAGGCGGAGGAGGAGGAGGGAAGATTGGGAGGAGGAAAAGGATGAGGATGGAGGAGGAGGGGGGAAGAGAGGGAGGGATGGGGGGGAAAGGAGGAGGAGGAGGAGAGGAGGGACGAGGCGGACAAGGGGAGGAGCGATAGAGGAGGAAAAGGGGGGGTTGAGGAGGAGGACGACGACGAGGATTACGAGGAGAAGGGCGGAGGGAGGAGGGAGGAGGAGAAGCAGGAGGGAGGGGTGAGTGCCCGACGCGCCGACGGAAGGCGCGCCCGTGCTGCTCTCGGGCCGCACCACGCTGCCCAGGCGTGCCGCGAGAGGCCAGCGCTCGTCGGGCCGCCCGGGGGGGGCGGGGCTTCAGGAGCCCCCTCTGGCAAGCTCCCCCGCCACCATCCTCCTCCTCTCCTCCTCCTCCTCCTCCTCTCCTCCCTCCTCCTCCTCCCTACTCCTCCTCCTCCTCTCCTCCCCCGCCGTCCCGTCCCCTCCCTCCCCCCCTCGCCTTCCGTTTCTGCCCCCCCTCCCCCCTCCCCCCTCTTGCGCGAGCGCTGCTGCCCCCCCCCCTTTGGCCCCCCTCCCCACCCGCGTCGGCCCGCCGCTCCTCTGCATGGCCCGTCACCCCTCGTGCCCTCTGCGCGGCCGCGGAGGCGACTGGCGCAGCTGCGGCGCTGCGCGGGAGGCGGCACGACCACTCTCGCGGACGCACCCGCCGAGGCCGGCTTCGTCGTCGTCGCCGCCGCCGCCGTCGTCGTCGTCGTCGTCGTCGTCGTCGTCGTCGTCGTCGTCCTTCTCGTCGTCGTCGCCGTCGTCGTCTTCGTCGTCTGCCAGGGAGTCAGGTACACGGGACATGGCTTGCCATGGCGAGTGTTGGATGCGCGCACGGCCTCGCCCCCGCATTGGCGGGTGCGCGTGTTGATTCGACTGGTCACGTCCGCAGCCTAATGACTGCTCACAGCGATGGAGGGGCGGAAGAGGATTTTGAGGATGAGGGTCCCTCCCTTGTCTCCTCCCTCTCTTTGCCTTCTCCCTCTCCTTGCCCTGTCCTTCCTTGTTTCCTCCCGCATCATTATTTTAGCTCTGCCCTGCTTCCACTGTTTTTCTTTATTCCGAATTGGTATGTACCGGCACCCTTTCACAGAGTCATCAGTGGGAGTCATGATCATCTTGCAGCCCAGGGGTGTAAGTAGAGCCTCGAAGATAAGGAGGGTGAGAGTCTAGGACGAAGGCTGCACCGTCGCGTGAGAGGCCGAGCTAGATGCAAGTAGCGATGCTGGCGAACCTAGCGGCAAACGCGAGGCCCTTTGCGTGCTCCTTCTTTGGTCTCGACAGCGCAGTCTCGGCGGGCAACGCTTTATCCATACACCTGCTGCTGCTTCTATCTCTGGACGCCAAGCGGGTTTGCGCAGGGATTTCTCCACTCTGGTATGGGCAGGGGCATGGACAACATGGCGATCGGCTACCAAGTTTGTGTGGCACGTGCCCTTGTGTGTGTAAGTTCCGAACACAGGTTGGGTGAGTTGCGGCCTTGGCCCGCCCTCTAGAGCTCAACACATCCTGTTGCAGTGGTAGATGTTCGGTGTCCAGCACGGCGACATGTCAGAATGTTTCCATCCGCTCATGCCGATAGCCTCAAGCCAAGAATGTGGTCGGTGGATGGCATGCTGGTGTGCGCAAAGCCGCACAAATTTTGTGGGCGCGCCCCAGGCTTCCGTGCATGTGGTGTCCAGGGTGGCACACTTGACCGGGTAAATCAGGAGGAAAGGAAACACACAGACACAATTAATCGTCGAGTCCCAGGACAATATAGGAAAATATGGGAAGTGAGGGGGGGAAGACAGAAACCCAGAACATATGGGAAAATATGGATACTATTTTTATTTGTGTGTATTTATTTGTGTGTCCTGGGGCCCGTCAGTAAATCCGAGTGAGGGTCTTTGTACGGAATGCGGACCTTTGAAGCACGCCGTGTCATCATCCAGGCCCACCTCGAGCGGTTGTTTCTATGCGTGCATCTACGCAGGTGGCTACGGTTTCCCCCAACCAGTACGACTGTTCCATCAAAGTTGTGGAGGGCGCGATCGTGCCGTTGCTAGGTTTCCCCCAGTCCCTTGGGGCCTGTGGGGCTGTCTTCAGGGCCTGTGTTGGGCGTCTTAGGTGCTTCTGGGACCACGCTGGGGTCCTCTTCGGAACAAGACGAGGGTGATACTATCGGAAACTGTTGATATGATAGGGGCGTTCTTCTGAAAGCCAATCAGGAAACACCACAGCAGATGTTCATTACTTTGCACATCGGCGTCTTTGGCCCTGAGCTTGGGGAATTGCTTTGGGCCACAGGCCTCCTGGGGGTCTGCTGGGGAATCCGCCCCCCCCCCAAGTTCTGCTACACGTTAAGCTCGTTGGTCCGCACGGGGACGCTACATACTGTCAGTGCTCATTTCCATCCCTCCGAGCCAATTCGATTCGGCTTGATGATTTCCGATTCCCATTCGATTCGATTTCGATTTTCGATTCCGATTTGGATTCCGGTTTCTTCACGGAGGCCTATTCGCCCGCCGATTTCCGCCGATCGGGCTTCTCTCGGCTTGGCTGCCGATTTCCGCCGATCCGATTCACGTCGATCGCCGAACCGATTTGTCGATTCGATTCTGGGCTCCCCTGACTGCTGCCACTTCATGAAATGCCCTTTTCGTTCGGACTGCAGTCACTCTCATGTTTTGCCCTGCTGCCGCGTGCGCCCAGGCGTCTTTTGGCAGGCGGCCCCCTCTCAGACTAGACTGCGATGACAGCGGAAGTCTTCGGAGCCTGAACGTGACCACGCCGCTTTTTTACGCCAATGGTTCACCACACATTGGCAGCGCCTACCCGACGATCGCCGCTGACGTGCTGTCCCGCTATGGTAGACTCAGAGGAGCTGATCCTGTCTTTCTGTCTTGTCTGTTGGCACCTGGACGTATACATTTGCAAGCATTGCCTTTCTTGGACGATTGCTGTTGCCGTATTGCGCGTGGGAGCCACATTGGCAGGCGATGTTTGTCATTGTTGGTTGTTTTGTAGATTGTTTTGCGATCCACCCGATGTAAACTTGGACGGGCGAGCAGTCTGGTAATGTTGGGGACGTGTGCTTGCTGAGGAGCTCTGCGCAGTGAGTTCCGCAATCGCACGTGTGTGTCGAATTGGGTCGAGCATCTTGTGTCCTATATTCGTGTCGGGCTGGCCACCAGTTATCCGTTTGATCAACCATGTAAGTCGGAGGGCACAGACTACATCAGTAGTGCACGCTGATCTTACGCGTAAGTATCAGCACCCCGCAAATGCGGATAAGAGTGAGGGGGCGGTGGGGACGTCGGCAGTCTGCGAGACGTTGGAGAAGCCCGCCGCATGCGCCAAAGCTTCACAAACTATAACGAGCCCGCCGCAGGCGCCGATTTCTTATTCAAACCAATGTGGATCGGTCGCGAGTGTGTCGCGGAGTGGGTCGCGGGTGGGTCGCAAGCGGGTCGCGGGTGGGTCGCGGGTGGGTCGCGGGTGGGTCGCGGGGTGGGTCGCGGGTGGGTCGCGGCGTGGGTCGCGGGGTGGGTCGCGGGGTGGGTCGCGGGTGGGTCGCGGGTGGATCGCGGGGTGGATCGCGAGGTTGGTCGCGGGCTGGGTCGCGGGGTGGGTCGCGGGGTGGGGCGCGGGTGGATCGCGGGGGGGACGGCGACAACAAACAACAACAGCAATAACAGCAACAACGCAACAAGCAGAATCCTCACCACGGATTCTCACTTCAGCCACGCACCCAGGGGCAATGAATGACCGTTCGGCCCCTTCACTCTGATGCGATGTCGCAGTGGATATGTGCACCAATATTACAGGTGGCGTGAAACGTTTCAAGAAGACTTGGGAAGTCATGCGCATGTGCAGCGTTCCGTAATAGGCAGACATGGTTTGTGCTTTGCGACCTGTTCCGCCGACCCTGAGACGTGAGCAACCTTGGCGCAAGAGATGGAAAGGTGACGAGGGCAAGGGGCGTGACGGGGGCAAGGGGCCGTGGCGGCCTTGATGCGAGGGCGAAAATAAAATGACCTTCCGCCCGTCCCGCCACTGAGCCTAGTCGTGCTGCAGAAGCCTTGGGGACGTGGGGAGTCTCTTATGAAGCTTTCAAGCAAGCTTCTTGTGGAGCTTATTGGGGGGGCAGTCTTAGGGGCCTGCGTGGCCCACTTGAGTGCGTCTTTGGGCGTTTTCTGGGCCTCTTGTTTGTCTTGGGATCATGTCGTAGGGATCGGCGGATTCCAGCGAGGCCACGGCATCGCCCGCTTTGGGCCCTCATTGGGGCAGTCGTGGAGACTTCTGGAGCCGTCTTGGACGCTCTTGCTAGATGCTCGTTTGGGGGACCTTCCTGGGGCCCACCTCACGGGTCTGTTCGACCCCAGTTCGACTCCAGCTCGATTCCAGTGCGACTCAAGTTCCACTCAGGTTCGACTCAGGCTCGACTCAGGGTCGACTCGGGTCGACGGACGCTCGACACAGCTTCGACGCAGGAGTGGAGCCAGGAAGGTCCCCAGAATGAGCAGCCAACTCTTGCGACCTTTGCAGCGAGAACGTCCACAAGATCGCGCAGAAACCCGAGCGATTCCGCCGATGCCGCGCCCTCCTGGGCCTGCCCCCGCCCAAAGGACCCAAAATGGGCACGCCTCCTCCTCCTCCTCCTCCTCCTCCTCATCCTCCTCCTCCTCCTCCTCCCCCCCTCCTCCTCCCCTCCAAGGTGGGCGCTGCCCCCAAAGGCCCTCTCAAGGACCCATTTGGGGGCCTGCGCCCTCCTGGGCCTGCCCTCCCCCCCCCAAATGGGTCCTCGAGAGGGTCCGAGAGACGCCCGCACGCGCTCCGAGGGTGGCCGAGAGGTCTGCCCCGAGAGGGGGCCTCTCCGGTGGGCTCGCGGGTGGCCCACGGGAGGCCGAGCGCTCGGCTCCGA